ATAAAAAAAATATAAAGTTAATATTTTTATTTGTATTTTTTTTAATCTTTGTTCAATATGTAACAATTGAAAATACCAGATAATTCTAATAATATGGTTTTTTTATCATCCCAATAATACATCAAGAAAATATTTTACAAGATAAATTGTACATTAAAAATCTAATCCATTTTATAAATTTACTTAAATACATTTAATAAAACTATTGTTTATACTATTTCATTAAAAATATTAAAAGTATTTACATAAATTCATATAACCGACTATATTTTAACATATAGTCCGCCGCGAAGAACTTGAATCTCATAATATGTTATGTTCTCCGCTATGTTCTGAGAGATTAACCACTGATGACAATCACTACAAGAAAACTCAGTATCACCGACCAAAAATCACCGACATGGAAAACATTAGTCGGTAATTGAATCACTTCCGACAAAAATCATGTCTGAACCATCAAAAACAGTACTATTGAAATTAATTTACATTATTCTCATTTCAGAGATATATTTCGTCGGTAAATTTCAAATTACACACCTATTTCTTGTCGGTATTAATTTTGAATATCCACTCCGACAGCTCCGGCGGATTTTTCAGGCGAGTGAGACAGAGCTCACAGGCCGACTAGATCTTCGTCGGTAATTTGCAACTTCTCCAACAAAAATCTTGTCAGTAACTTTGAGAGTTCTTGGTAATATAAACACTCAGTAACTTTTCAGGGCCGTGGCAGGGAGTTCAAGCCTTTCAAAATACCGACGAATTCCTTGTTGGTGATGGTCATATTCTGCAACTATAATCTCGTCGGTAACTTGCAAATTTCTAGGAAATACCTATTGCATCAGCTTTTAGTCGGAGTGAGCAGAGAGAGCTACTGTCGATGAGGTTCTTGTTGGTAAAGTTGCTTGATGCCGACTATGCTTTCGTCGGTAATCTCAGCAAATTGAACTGCTCACGCTTCGGCTGCTGATGCAGGCTTCTTCTCAGTTTGTTGATAAGATTCCCACCTATAGATGATGGGGCTAATTGAGCAGAACCTGTTGTAACGTGAATTTTGTGTCGGCAAGTTTGACCCTTGCTCATCTATCCTGTCGACCCCCCCCCCTTGGCTTCTCATTTTCATCTTCCTCTTCGGACAGCAGTTTTCCTCTCTACCCCTTTGTTAACATTTTTCCTCTACTCTTTTGTTAACATTTTTTCTCTCATCACAGTGAGTAGATCGAGCAACGGTAAGTGAGTTTTCTGTAATATTACTCTTTTTATATGTTTTTGCATCAAATCTAAATATTATGCATATTTTATATTTTTTTAGAATTTAAACTACAAAATATTGTAACCAGTTCATTTAACATTACCATTACAAGATTTATTGTTTTGGATAATATTTATATATATAGCTAGATGTTTGTTAATAATTTTTCAGCAATTTTTTGTTAAAATTATGGTAATTA